TTCCTGCAGGTGACCCTGCACCCTATAAGCCAAGCAGAAGATACCGTTTCAAAAGGAAGGCTACAGCTTCGTGCGATGTTTTCAGCATGTATGGTCTTCCAGCCACTGCCATTAATGCATCAGTTGACGATGAGGCAGCTGCAGAGGCCTCTGACGTGGGAGAGGCAGACCAGGTGGACTCAGATTCAGATGTTTTGGTTGTGAAAGACTCGGAGGAAGAGGATCTCCAGGCTGCTGCAATCCCTTTGGCAAAAGCGTACTTTGACCCCAGCCAGGGCTGCTATGTCAAAGCCTTGGAAGGAGGCAAGTGCATTCATGGCGAGTTGAAGGAAGGAGCAGCTGGGTTTTGCATGGTTTACTTCCCAGACGAAGAGCCATTTGAGAGCCAAGTCCCGAATCTATGGCTGTCGAGTCGCAAAAGCACGCCGGCTTTCAAGTTCTCCAAGCGCGGCAAGGCCGCCTTCGGAAAGGCCAAGAAGAAGGCGAAGCGAGCCGCAGAGCCTGCTGGAAAGGAGGCAGAGGCTACTGTGGGATCCAGCGAGTCCGGCGAGAGCAACCAGGAGTTGCTAGCAGCCGCGCCTCTGGAGTTGGAGTCTTGGAACGGGTACCCTCTAGCTGGCATGCCGCAGGAGGCGCTGCCACCTGCCGGATGCGCAGGCCTGCACTCCTACACCGTGAAGGCTCTGATCCTTGGCACTAGTGTGAGTATAGATGTTCTCATGCGAGGCAAAGCCTTTTATATAAAAAGACCAGAAATCTGCAAGGGGCAGCACCGCTGGTCGAAGCACAGCAGCATCACGGAGTGCTGGGTTCAGTGCCTTGAAAAAATCAAGGACGCACTAAGGGACGAGAAGGACGCTGTGCCAAATTTGGAGTGAACATATTGCATTTGAACAAACAAACTGGATCGCTTAAAAAGGCCTGCCCCCGCAGACCATGCCGTTTTTGGATTTGCATGACGTTTTGAGCAGCATGAATTGTTTGCAGGATTTTTTGGGGTTTGTTGAGTTGCATGACCTTGTGTGTTTGTGCGTTGCATGAGCGTTTGGACCGCAGCCATTTTTATGTGCGCACCCTTTCAGGACTTTGCTGGCAAGCATGTATATGCAGTTGTTGATGTCACTTGTGCCTTGTGCATGGTGCAGGCCTCCTTGGCAGGAGGGTGTAGCTTGATCTCTTTTGTGCAGGCCGCGCCGCGTCGAAGGTTGCCAGATCTTCTTGTGCATGGCCAGGACTGATCCTTCAGGAAGTTTCTTTGTGAAGGCCATCCTCCTTGGCAGGAGGAATTCAATGTTGAAGTGCAGTTGCCGCGCAAGCATGCGTGCCCTGACTTAGTCTGCAGGTGATGATGCCAGCATCTGCCGGCCCAAAGTCTCCTTGGAGGAGACAGGGTTGCGCACGAGCTCTTTGTTCATTGCCTTGTTCTGAGATGCTTTGGCCATGTTGCTTGCAAGACAAATGTGCGCTTGTTGGCAGATATGTTTGAGCTCAAGTGGCTATGATGACACGCATGTCAGCATATGATTGCATGATATGGTCACAGTCAGGCAGCTTGCATACTCATGGCTGGCAGTAGCAAGAGCGGCTATGGCAAAGAGTGGAAAGGCCCGATCCGGGCTTGGAAGGGGTCTGATTGGGGCAACGAGGCCTTGCTAGACCTCAGGTTTTGCAAGGCTTGCAAGACGAAGTCGTATCTCAGAGGATCGTTATGCGCAAATTTGTTGTGCAGCCAGTACTACATGCACCAACAGCCATCCTTGGCAATGTGGAAGAAAGGAGTGAGTGAAGAATGTTGGTCGCCGCAGTCCTGGCGTCAGAGCGGATTCAGTGATGCGGTTTACCAGAGGCACCTCACAGAGGAGTGGGCCCAGATGGAGGAGGAAGACCACGAAGATTCGGACGAGATGGAAAAAGTCGTCATCGAAGAGGTGGCCAGCAGTGAGGAAGAGACCGCAGCTTGGAAGAAGCAGCAAGAGGTGCCTGCGGAGGAAGATGATGCGGCCCGGGCAGGGTACCAGTGGGCAGTGAAGGAAAAAAAGGCAGCCGAGCTCTTGAGCGCCAGCGTCAAGATGGAGAAAAGTGCCGATGTCCCTTTGGAGACAAAATCCTACTATGCGAAGTGGGCTTTGCAGGAGGCCAAAGGAAGGGACCAAGCTCAGGAGAAAGCAAAAATGCTTGGGAAATCCGCAGAGGATTTCAAAGAGCTGGCAACTCTGCACCCATGGCGTGCTGGTGGAAAGGAGCGCCAGCAAGAAAAAAAGAATGAGAATGAGAAGAATGAGAATGAAAAGAATGAGAATGAAAAGAATGAGAATGAAAAGAATGAGAAGAATGAGCAGCCGGCGGTGGTGGCCACTGAGCAGGATGCCTTTGAAAGCTGGCAAAGATCCTACTGGGGGACAGGTGCTTGGGCGCGCGACCACGGCTGGGAGGAAGAGCCCGCGAAGGGTAAAAAAAACAAGGGACGGCAGCGAAAAGCTTGGTTGGAAGCTCAGATCGATTCTTTGAAGGTGAATGGAAGGTGGGTTGGACCTGGCCATCCCAGCGCAGTGGCAAAGGCCATCCGGCTGGCCAAGGACTGCCTTGAGAGATCACATTGATTTGCCATGTTTTCTTGGGAGTGTCCTTTTTTGTGTGTGAATCTACCCTGCAGGAAGGCGATACTTTCAAGAAGCCCGAGAAGCCCGCAGCAGATCCGTCGGAGAACAAGGCCCTTTATTTTTTTTACGGTTTTGATACTTGTGCAAGATGCTTGTCCTGACCAGGCAGATGCTTGAGTGGCCAGATCAGATCACGATACCGTGGAATCTTCGAGCGTGTCGGATGGGAAAACGCATGCCAGATGTGCTCAAACTTGTTTGCCTGGTCAAGTTGCCATGTTTCTTGCATCTTGCCAAACATGTCTGGGGTGTAGGAGCGTGCTTGGACAGCTGCTGCCTCAGACAAAAGGCCTCCTTGGTGGGAGGATTTGTTTTTTGAGAAGGACTACCTCCTTGGCAGGAGGCTTAATTGGTATGGTCTTAGATTGACTTGCGATCAAAGATGCATTTGTTTGTCTTTTTGGCATGTCTGCATCTTTGATTCACATTGCAAGGTGCTAGGAATTCCTTTAACTCAGATGTTATCCTTGTGGACTTCGCCATGCAGCCAGGGCCTCAGAATATCAGACTTGTAGCCACTGTTCAAGTATGTTGCTGGTTGTAAGCGCCTTGCAGTGCTGGTAGACTGTGGTTTGACTTGACTTGGTCTGTGTGCATGGCCATGGCAAGCCTCCTGAGAAGGAGGCATCCTCCTTGGAAGGAGGCTGGCTGCACCTTCACTAATAGACATTGGGGCTGTGTGCCCATTGATGGTTTTCAGCTTGCAGTCAAGTGTGTGCATTGTTGTTTGGTGTGACTTGCCAAGTTTCTTACAAGACCCCAACTCAGTCTTGCAGCTTCACTGATTTGATATTGATCGCACCATGATCGCTGCATTTGGTATTGGTTAGGAAATCAACAACACACAGAAAATTTTTAACAAGCATTTTTTTAACAAATTTTTAACTGTTAAAAATTTTGATTTTAAAAGGAAACTCCATTTAAAATCAAAATTTTTAACAGTTAAAAATTTGTTAAAAAATGCTTGTTAAAAATTATTTTTCCGGGTGTGGGAGTAATATAATATATTTTGTGGGTGCAGGCAACCCGGGATGGGGTTGTGACTTGATATAGTTGTTTATTTTTGTTTGGACTACATTGCATTTTGAAGGATTACAGTAGTGCTACATTTGAAATGAATCTATCAAGTTTGAATCAGGTAGGATTGAGTTTGCTGTTTGACACTCCCTTGTGAGGCGATGGTTTGCAGCCATTCTGGTTTGTTTTAGCCAGATCCCCACAGTTGTCAGCCATGGTATGGCCTGATGGGGATGCCGTGCTGCTAAGCTACTGGCGCAATTTGGCAGGAATCTGTCATGTAAGCCTTCATCAGTCAGGCTGGGAGAGCAGGACGCCTTGGTACAGATTGCCTGAGAACATTGTACCATCGCCAAGTCTCCTGAGTAGTTTGCAGCAAAGCCTGCCCAATGCTGGAGATAATTTTGGGCCAGGTAGAAACGAACTAGAAGATCTCAGAAGGATGTACGGTTTCAGAGGCTGAGCTTGGCATTGGAGTGTGCCAAAACAAAAGGCTCGGGCGCATAGTTTGAATATCAATCCAGAGTGTTTAAGATAAAGACACGCGCGCGGCAGTGTTTCTCTAGGTGTCGAATGTTGAGAAGGCTCAAGCTTAGGTCAGGTAAGGATCATGGCTCCCAAAATGGGGAAGACTGCCAAAGCTATGGCTGCAAAGTCAGCTGCCAAAGCTTCAGCTGGCAAGAAAGTCAAAAAGGAAGTGAGAACAACGCCCAAGGCAAAGCCGAAGCGTGTCAAGGAGCCTGTTTTGGAGACTGCTGGCGATGCCTCGGCCTCAGACCAAGCTGCCAAAAAGGAAGATGGCCAGGCGCCCATGGAGCATGATGGGTCTGGGGCCCCACCAAGCCAGCTGGGCTACGCCAGAGGCACAGTGAGCGCGCTTCTCACTTCGCTAAATACCAAATGAAGGCAAAGAAAACCAGTGACTCCCAGAAGGATGACGCACAGAAGGTGTTGCAGGACCGCCGCATGCATGTTTGAGTTTGTAGTGGGCTTCTTGGCCACCTACTTAACTGACAGCTTGATCTCCTTGGTAGGAGTACGAAGCGGGCACCATTGAGGAGAAGAAGTTGATTCTGGACAAACTGCAAGAATTCGGAGTGAAGAATTGCAGCTGGGTCCACAGCCTGGAGTCCCTGACATCTAACATTAAGGACGAGACTGAGTCCTTGGTCACCAACTTCTTCACCAGGTTGTTTGGCTTAGTAGTGGCTTTTGTTTTTCTCTGCAGTTTCATGGCTTGCTAGCAGCATTCTGGGATTGCGCCAACGCAGCTGAGGCAAGGGATCTTCGCCATCGAGCATATTGACACAGCCGGCCTGTCAGAAATGACAAGGATGAGATTTTGGAGGAGATCCTCTCCAAATCTGAGAAGAGCTTTGGCCACTCGAGGCAGGTGCAAGAACACTCAAAGTTCAAGCAGTTGCACAAGTACCTTTTTGTCTACACCAAGGGCAAGAAGAACACTGAGGGCACAAGGACAAGCAGCAGTATGTCAAGCACTGCTGCGGGCATGAAGGGCAAGGCAAGCCAAAAGATGGCTTTGGACTTGCTGGGCCGACCAGAGTTGGCCAGTTCTTCTGCAGCTGAGCATGGCATGTCTGCGTCTTTGTCTGATGCCAAGTCTGAGTCAAAGAGCCTGCAAGCTGCGAGGGTTCGCCTCAGCAAGCTGTTGGAGGACTTAAAGCTCCTGACAGCCGAGATCGCTGGCCTGAAGGATAACAGCTGGGGCAAAAAGCTAGGAGTTGGAGAACGCTGACAAGCAGTTGTCTGGCTTTTTGTCAGAGGTGAGGACGCACCTGGCCATTCCCTTTCCAACCGACAAGGTCAGTGTGTTTACTCACTGTTGTTTCAACTTGACAACATACGCCACTTGGGCTCAAGCAACAGCCAGCATACATGCTTACTGGACCAGCTTGCATTTTCAACAGCTTTGCTTTGCTTTTTCCAGTTTCGCTTTGACTTGCTTGCTTTGCATGACCATGGCTATTGGTTGCAACAACACTGCCGAGCTATTTTTTTCAACGCAGCACAGTCAGAGCAGCATTTGGCAGTGACATAAGCACGTCCAGTGAGCCGGCCCCATGGTTTGCTTTGCTTAACCATATGCGCAGACGCTCAGCACTGGCCAAGGGTCAGGCAGCACTGCGAAATCCTATTATTCTTGCAGTGCCTCTATCTGCGCGCGATACCTATTCTCCGAGGGCCGTAGCCTTGGTGGGCTTTGTGGCTGGCTTTTCCTTTTGCTTATTTTTGCTGGAATGGCTTTTCTAGCGGAGTCCGATGAGGAGACCCAGGCAGGCGGTGCCGCACTTACCCCCAGGGTTGCAGTGGTCAAGCGTTTCCGCAGGGACAGTGCTTAACTTCCCCCGACACGCTTTCCTCTTCTTCGGATTCCCCGAGCAGCTTTGTGCTGGTGGAGTCCCCGCATCGGGACACTGGCAGCCAGGCTGCCCAGGCTTGGTCTAGGCCAACTCTCTCTCTGTTATTTGTGAAATCTAAAACCGCTCACAGCGCATCTTCAGAGGTTATCATTCAGCAAATGTGGATTCTGCGAAAATTTGGTGGTTTTGCGAGGTGCGGCCACAGCCCTTCTGCTTGCACTTCTGCAAGGGTTTTCAGCTTGCTTCAATATGCAGGCAAAACGGGTCCTAGTCGCATTCTGTGCGTCTCGGAAGTTTAAGTTGCCCGGGCTTAAAGCGCTGTTTCTGGCCTTGTAAGTGCGTTTCTGTTGCGGAGCTTTGTGGCTCGAAAAGCATGATAAGTGCTTTCTAAGCGCAACGGTAACTCAGAGCAGAAGGGTGGAATTCTCTTGGCCTCATTTGCTGCATGTGAGCCTTGGGTTGCGTCTCCGTCAATCCTCCGGCAACAGGATTGTATTGCTGGGGCTCGCTGGCCGGCTTCCGGAACTTGCGTAACGCAAAAGGACGAATGGGGAAGATCAAGCTTTTCCCCACGCCTGAGTACACCAGCAAGCAAGCCTCGGACCCCGTGGTGCCCCTGGTGCCATGCACGGGCATCTTCCTTGGGCCCAGCAAGTCGGGCAAAACTGTGGCGCTCATCAGTCTCATCCTGGAGCAGTACAAGGGCGTGTTTGAGCGGATCTACGTTTTCAGCCCAAGCGTCAACATCGATGATGGCTGGATCCCCGTCAAGAAGTACATCGAGCAGGACCTGGGGGTGAACACGGAGCGTGAGCAGGCTTACTGGGACGAGTGGGATGAGTCCGCCTTGCGGCGCATCATCCAGCAGCAGCGCAAGATCACGGAAGCGTCCAAGAAGTTGGAAATGAAGAAACTGCACCAGGTGCTTGTAGTCATCGACGACTTTGCTGACACGCCGCAACTCCACAAGCCGCACGGCGCCCTTGACACGCCCTTCATCCGAAACAAGAGGCGCCAGAGGCGCGCGCTGCGCCGGAGGCACCACACGTTGCACAAGAGGGGGAGGCCTCCTGGCAGCAAGAACAAACCGAAGCAGGACGTGCCTACTGAGCCGGCTGCCCCAAAGCGCAAGCCAAAGCCGACAAGAGAGCAGCAGCGCGCCCTGCGCATGCTGGAGAGGCAGTCGGCTTATGACCGGTTGACAACAGGCGCAAGCATACTAGTGTAAAAGCAAGATGATGTCCATTGAGCCCCGCAACGAGCCGCAGATGCTCTGGTGGTTCCGCAAAACTTATCCGAGTTACAACCTGCAGCCGCTGCTGCTGAAGCGCTACCGAGAACTGGAGGAGGCGCCTTCAACAACTGGCTAGGCGAGCGCAGGCAGGCGCAGGAGGGGCAGCGGCACCTGGACGACGTGAGCCGGCTGACGGAGGCCGTGCACCGCCGGCGGACGAAGTTGCGCAACAGTAAAAGAAATGAAGACACTTCGGGCGCACGGCCTGTGCACAACTTGGCTCAAAAAGATCAAACTGGCAAGCCACGAGAGCAATTCTTTCCCCCGCACTTCTTCAAACGGCTTGGTACTGCATCCGCGCGCTTTGGCACAGGGAGGAACGCCGCAGTGACAGCTGTTGACCAGCGCCGGCAACTGTTGCTGGTCCTGTACCCGTTGCAGGCATTCCCTGCTTGACTTGAACACCGTTGCCTGATGTTCAAAAGTGTGAACAGTTGCCTGCCTTACCCTTCAGGAGTCAAGCAAAGTCGCACTGCAACGAAACAACTGTGCCTGCGAACGCATGCTTTTGTCACTGTACGAGGTGAAACGTTGTGCGCCAGCATTGCCTCAGCCGAGAACAGTGACCACAGCCAGCAGTAGCCTGGCAACGATGCAAGTTCGCACGTGTGGAACACTGCTGGGTTGCTGAGGTGCCTCAAACTATGCGGCTCCAGCAGCTCCAGCTGGAATCGTGAATCCATAGCAGTCTGCCCTGACAGCTGGGCGACAGCACAACCCAAAATTGCAAGGCATCGGAACCAAGCGCTGGGCTTGGATTTGCCACGGTCGACTTCTGATTCTTCATCTGATTTAACCCAGCCGCCGTCCTGCAAAGTCCAGCCGAGAGACGGCAATGGGGTGAGGTGTGGGGGATGGAACAAATGGGGTGCGCTTTGACATGCAGAGCTCTCCTTCTGGCTGTATATGTCAATTTCATCAGCATCGCATATGACTCGGTTTGGCTTCTCCTGCTTGATGGCCTCAAGCAACGCTCAGTGTGGAAATCACTCAAACCCTCAATCTCTGTCATCGCCCTTCTTTCAAGAGCTTGCAAGACAGGATGAGCGAAATTCGGCTTGAGCCCTTTCAAGCGCGAGGCCTTCTTCAAGTCATCCACCTGACATCCCCGCGAAGCATGAAGCGGCATTTCCGAAGGCAAAACAAAGCTGAAATAGATCCTTCGCAGGCGCAGCTGAGGCCGCCGCGTTTGCCAAAACTCCCTTAACTTGAAAGGGGTTGCCAATGACCTCGAAGTTCTTGCCGTCCTCGTAAGGCACAAGCACTGCAATCCAGTTCACATCCATCCGTTTTACCGGTGGCTCCACAAACGCCTTTGATTTTGGAGCTAGGCGACAATTTGAGAGCTCTTCTGAGAAGGAAGTCGACAGCTGTTTTCAGAACGTGAATGCAGGGCAAAACTGCTCACAGCTGCTGGTAAGGTCCAGGCAGGGCTTCCCAGCTGACAGACCCACACTGCTGGGGGTCGTTGCGGGGCGGCACTGCCTTGCAGGCGGCAATCTGAGCGCGCAACGTGAGAAGTGCGTTTGTTGCTTTCCACTGGCCCGGAAAACTGGTCGAGTTTCGCACTCCACGTTCTGACATCTTTCGAAGCCAAAAAACAATGCTGAGTTTGAATGTTCAAAAAAATCCAGCCTGGCTCAATGTACTTGAATTTCTGGGCAGAACTGATCTCAAAGAATGGTTCTTCATCCTTCCAGGAGAACCCTCTTGCAACTCCATCGCACGGGATGTGGAAGTCAACAACTTTCTCACCTTGCCGCTTGACGTAGACATAGTAGCCGGTGTGCGATGGATTGGGCGCAAGTCCGACCACTTCTATACCGTCCCGCACTTTTCCCACAATCTCTCTCATGTCTCCACATTTGCCAATGATCAGCAAGCACTTGTGCTGTGCATGTGCATAGTTTGTCATCGACGCGCTTTCAAAGCGATCTCGATGCTTAGCAATGCTGGTTGCTCCCCGAGAAGACATGACCGCTTCAATGGCGAAAGTTGAACCGTCCTCCAACGTAGTATAGATGTCAACCTTCCCCTTTTTTGTGCTCTCCAAACTATTTGTACTACCAACCAAGCGCTTCAACTCCCGAACTGCGGCATGGGTGTAGTGAACCTCAAATGGGAGCTCTTCTTGCGAAACATCAGAACGAATTCCGAACTTGTCCCCTTGGATGGCCACCACATCTGCAAAAAGCAAGTATGGCAGCGCTCGCAAGAGCAAATCTGTGCAAGAAGTTGGGCTTCTGTCCACATCCACTGTCAGCTGCCGCTTCTTCGCAAGCGCTTGGCGATAGTAGGAAGCCATCATGTAATTGGCGACGCCATATTTTGTCCCGAGCTTTGCCCAATCCAATGGCGTAAACTCCTCTGGAATTCTGTCAGTCGCTGGCACAACAGGAAGCGTGAAACCAAATAAAGTGAGCTTGCGCCGGAGATTCGCGTCCATACCAGCAGTTGGACCCTCGCACAAGATGTCCACAAATTGTTGCGGTATGCTCTGCGGGTCTGAAAAAGCTCCGTTGACACGAATGGCGCGAACAGTCTGAAGCTTCCCCATCAAGCTGTCATCTGAGGTTTCTGTCCAATTGTCTGTGTCCCATGCCTGACTGACTTCGCCTTGTGCGCGAGTCAAATCCCAGCGAGTGCTGTCCCCGCTTTGCTTCTGCTGCACCCATTCCATGCTTCTTATGAATAGACTTCTGTGTCCAGCACAAAAGTCCATGAAGAAAGCAACCGCATCCTGGGACAAATAGACATCAGCCTCAGCAAGTTGATCAACAAGTTCATTGGCATGTGGGATTGGGGGAGTCCACATGTACTTTGCAGTAACTGCCGCTGGTGTTAAGTAGGTCCGTCCTTGCTGATCTGTTCCTTCAGACGCTGCAGATAAGAGCAGAACCATTGGACGCCTTTTCAGACACGAGGGCTTTTTCAGGAACTGCTCGTGGAACTCGGGGCAAGCAAAGAGCAAGTGGCATTCATCGAAAACCAGGACTTGGTCATTGTCATAGATCAATCTTATCATATCTTGCAAGTCTTTGTCTTTCACATTCGAGTTTTGTCCCCAAACAGCTGCCCTCATCTTTCTGTCCCACATCTCAAAAATGGTTGCATCCTTTGCAAGTGGGGCATGGACTCCAAAATACTTGGACGGCTGTGTGGTACACAAATGCTGCGCCAATGTAGACTTGCCGCTTGCCACACCAGCACGTAGAAAGACCACCCTCTCATCTTGCAACAAAACATCCAGCTTGCGAATGGTTTCATCCAAGGGGATGAACACGTCGGTGGTGAAGACGGCGGGATCCTCTGCTTTGGGAATTCTGCGCTTCACTGGCATCTCTTCTGGATATATCTTCTGCGCTTTTCCTGAGCTCAACACTTTCGCCGCTCTTGCAACCCCGACCAACGTGCTGCTCCAGCGGCGCAAAACGGCTTTGGTCTCTTTCACCGTGCCGTTGTCCTCCAGCACCCTGTCGGCTTCTGCGACCACCTGAGCGAGGCCAAGCTGGGACGTCGCTTTCTCTGAAGGTCCGCCGCCTCCTCGAGATCGCGCCGGTCCTGACAACCAACACGCCCAGCGTTCAAGCCTGATGCACGTGTCCCCGGCCTCCGCACCACTGTCCTGGCACGATTGCAACCGGCCAAATTTACAACTGCTGATTGGAGCGTCCTGCTGCGGGCTGGCGCGCGAAGCAACTCCGCCACGCCCAGGGTGCCAGCTTGTCACCTCAAGAGGAGCTAAGAATCCAGGCAAAGACAATTACAGTGACACCGAGATCTGGACCTGCGCCCTGCGAGAATCCTGGCGCACCAATTGCAACACACAACACAGGAGCCCTGACTCACAGCCCCAGCAGTGCGCACGAACGGACGTCCTCTTTCAAGCCCTTCAGGGTTGCTTTGGCCTGCGTCGCACGAAAACCGCTTGTGAATCTCAGACAAAGCACGCAGTCCTGCCTCTTCCACGAACTCGCGCAGTTTTTGCTTCAACTCGTCTTTCTTCCCTGAAAGCGTCCACTTCCCTGGGTTTATCTTCTGCGCTTTTCCTGAGCTCAAACCCTTCACCGCTCTTGAAAACCCCGACCCATGTGCTGCTCCAGCGGCGCAAGACAGCTTTTATCTTTTCCACCGTGTCGTTGTCCTGCAGCACCCGTTCGGCTTCTGCAATCGCCTGAGCGAGGCCAAGCTGGGACCTGTCCTTTCTCTGAAGGCCTGCCGCCTCCTCGAGATGGAGCCGGTCCTGGCAGCCAAGAAGCCCAGCGTTCTGATGCACATGTCCCCCAGGCCTCGGCATTGTTGTCCTGGCAACTGCAATCGTCCAAACTTGCAAGCTTTGGGTCCGAAGGTCCTCTCGTGCAGCCCTGGCACGCAAGGCGACTCCAGCATGCAACCAGCGCTGGCTCGATGCCTCACTAAGCTCGCAGGATGCGAGAAGGGTCAATCTGCTTGCGTTAGTGGACAAGTCTGAAGATTGGGCCGGTGCGCCGTTGCGGTCCTCGCATCACAGCACAAGCAGGAACATTCGCAAAGAGGGACTTCACGGTCCTTCCGACCGGGAACTCCTCGCGAAAACTCGTGGGCGGCGGACAGGGACTCCTGAAGCCCGAACGAGTCAGCTGCCAACCCCTCAACGTTCCCAAGACCCAGGCCGTGCTCGGCCACTGCAATGAGCAACGCCAGCGCATTCCCTTGCCGATGCCCTTGCACTGGACTGACACTCAAAGCTCCTTTCGCTCCCCGAATGCCCCAAATTGCCTGTACAGTCACAAAGAACAACTATGCTATCTCGCCGCCGGGGGTCAAAAGGTAAGAGTCTGCCAATACACTTCAAGAGCATTGCGAACTTCGCATGGAGGCGGACACTGCTGATTTTTACATGGCTGGCATCCTTCATGGAAGAAGAGGGTGTCCCCGGCCTCGGCACTGTTGTCCTGGCGGCAACCGGCAAAAGATGCGAACAGGCTTCGGGTCGGAGGAGTCCTCTTGCGCAGCCCCGGCGCGCCGAGCGACTCCGGCATGCAACGGGTGCCGTTTTGCCTGAAAGAGCCAAAGTGCAATCTGCTTGCGCCCGCGGGCAACTCTGAGAACTGGGCCAACATGCTGTCCTGGCACTCAGCACGAAACAAGAACATCCAAAGGAGGGACTTCATGCTCCTTGAGCCCAGGAACTCCTCGAGCAAAGTCCTGGGCGGCGGCGACAAGGGACTCCTGAAACCCGAAAACCTTCGAAAAAAATGTGTCCCAAGACCCAGGCCGTGCTCGGCTGCACGAGCAGCGCCAATGCAATCCCGAGAAGGCAGAGGCACATACCTGGCCGCTGCCTACCGCGGGCACGGTAGCGTCACAAGCTTGCCAGCCTCGGCTTTTGGTCCTGGTCCGCATCATCGCCATGGCTATTCGAAAAGCGCTTGAGCGGCCTGCGATTCCTCAAGCACTGGCACTAGACCCATCGGGCAACCATTGCGAGCTGTTGTTGTGTCAGTGTTGATGAGTACCCTCGAGCCAAGTTTCCAGAGCAAACACAAGATTGACTGGCTTCTTTGGCAACACCAACGCACGGGTTTGGATGCTCCTCCTCCTTTTCACTCGCGGCCTGAAGGTCGGTCGGGCCAAGCCTTGCAAGGCTTCGCAGCGTCCATCCGTCAGACTGGCTGACCCACATCCTGCCGCTGCATCAAAGTCCAAGCGAGATACCAAACTGGCCTGCCTGCAAAACAAGCAGCCGAAATCGGCACCGGGCCGCCAGGGCCTGAAGGGCGGGGGTTTCTGGCGTCCCTGGTCCCTGGGATCACTGCGGCCTCTGGGGTCCCTGGGTCCCTAGGGTCCCTACATTCCCTAGGGTCCCTCCTAAGGTTTCTAGGGTCCTAGAGTCCCTGAATCTGCACACGTGTGCATCAGACGTCTCGCCAAGGCCCCAGAGTGCGCTCGTCCCTGTCAACGCACGGCAGGTTCAGGGACCTTGGGGACCTTTAGGGAATTTAGGGACCTTAGAGACCTTTAGGGACCCTAGCAACCCTGCAAACCCTACCCTAGGGACCCTAGGGACTCCGAGGACTTCAGGGACCCAGCGACCCAGAGACTTCAAGAGATCCTTGGTGGCCCCAAGGATTTTGGGGCTTGAAGGGATCTTGGCAAGAACTTCACGCCGGGTACCATTCAGCCTGGGCATTCTCCAGCATCATAGGGTCATGCAAAAACACAAAATGCCGAAGCCAAGACACACACACACACACATTGCAAATGGGCCACAACACCACAACATCATCTCCCAACTACAAACTAGAAAACACCATGTAGAGACATACCAACATAAAGGCACAAAGACATAAAGATATAAAGATATAAAGAGAAAGATACAAAGATACAAAGATATAAAGATATGAATTTGTAGAAATACAAAGATATAAATATATGAAATTCATAAAGAGATACAAATACGTAGAGATATGAAGATATAAATGTATGGAAATAAATAGATTTGAGTACACGAAGATAAATAGATGTATGGAAAGTTGCTCGAATGGGAAAACAACAGAAGCTTTGCCCTTCCGCGCGTCTTTGTGTCCCCTTGCGTGGCAAGCTGCAACCAACCGAAGCTTGAGAGATGACTTCACACTTCACAGGATCTCTTGCCCCCAAGACCCAGGGTTGCTGGGGTCCCTAAGGTCCCGTGGGGTCCCTAAGGTCCCTTAGGGTCCCTAAGGCCCCTAGGGTCCGTAAAGGTTTCTGGGGTCCCTAAAATCCCTGAAAACGCCGTGTGTTGACAAGGATGTATGCACTTTGGGACCCTGGCCAGACGTCTTGATGGAAGGACGTTGCTTCATGGCACCTGCAGCGGACGCACGCGTGCCCAGGGACCCAGGGACCCCAGGGACCCCAGGGACCCCAGGGACCCCAGGAACCACAAAGATCGCAGGGACCCTCGGGACGGTTCCAGGGGTTCCAGGGGTCCAGGGGTTGCAGGGGTTCCAGGGGTTCCAGGGGGTTCCAGGGGTTCCAGGCATTCAGGGGTTCCAGGGCTTGAGGGGTTCCAGGGGTTCCAGAAGTTCCAGGGGTTCCAGGGGTTCACTGGGTCAAAGATCAAGGGGGCTGACAGATTGGTGACAAAGATCAAATGACAATAACCTGCACGGGACTTCTTGGCCATGACAATGGAACGCGGCGAGGGCCCGGGCGGAAGCTCAAAAGTTCGCAGTGCCTGAGCGCCAGGAAAAAAAAAAGATTTTGAGGAAACCACGCTGCCTGACTTACAAAAAACCTGACAGTACGACTTGACGGGGTTGGGGCAATCGCTCTCAAGGTCAAGGGTTCACCAGGTTGGAGAGACAATACAAAATGCGGGCCTGGCTCAACGAGGTCACGATTTCCAAAGATACACGGGCCTGACGGCGCGGCTTCAAGGGGTTGGCAAAAGCACACAAAAAAGCAACGCGAGTCGCGCAAATCCTGGCACGGGACGGGGGGGGGTGTCCGGGCATCGCTAGGCCAAAGATCAGGGGGCCTGACAGATTGGCGAGTTGGGACCCAAACCTCAAAGATCAGTTGGCATTGATGGCCATGACAACGGAAGCAGCGAAGGTCCGGGCAGTATGCCTCGATGTCAAAACAAAGCCTGGCACGGGGAAGCGCGCAAACACGACCTTCAAAATCCAGGACCAAGCCTGAAACACTGCTCAAAGGCCGAGTTGACACCAATCCGCACAGGTGCCCAGCCACAGAGTCCCCAGTAGCACGAATTGGATCCACCTGCAAGCGGCCAACAAAAAGTGACAAAAAGGCAACTCCAAAGCGCGGCGCTGCGAGAAGATCTGCACGTCGAAGTCTGGGCACAGGGCACGTGAGGTCAAGAAAAACTGTGAGTCTGAAACCACGCCTTTGCACCCGCGAGCGGTTCCCTGCCGCCCGACCCCAGAACGTCCCCGAATCTCGCCTTCACAAGGCTCACGTGCTTGGGGAAGCTCTTTCCAAACACGACCGACAACGTGAAAATCATGAGAAAAACGCAACACCGGCAACCTGTCATGCAAAATCACGCTCAAAAACCACGCAAAGCTGAATTTACGGAAAAACAAACAAAATGGTGTTTTTTTCCGGAAATGGCGGCCCTCGAGCCGCGTGAGCCGAGGGCCGTCCCTTTAGTCGGACCATTTTGTTGTCCGCCCTATAGAAAAAGGACCGGCAAGCTACCATCGCCACTAGGGCAAGCAATGCGGCCTGGTGGAGGTCCGCGACCTGCAGGTGAAAAACTGCGTTCTTTGAGCCGGGGCGGGTCCCGCCCAGGTGCCCTAGGTGCCCTGGGTGATCCTCTCAACCAGGACCTGAATTGCCAGGGTCCTCTTGGCCAGGATGTAACCGACCTGAGCCGGGGCTGGGTCCCGCCAGAAGTGCCCCCCTGGCAGGGTCCTCTCGACCTGAGCCGGGGCAGATCCCACCCGAAGCGCCCTAGGTGCGACCCGTTGGGCGAACCATTGAAAAACGAATCCCCCCGGGCCCGTTGGGCAGACCATTGAAAAACGAAACCCCTCCAGACCCGTTGGGCAGACCATTGAAAAAAACCGAAACCCCTCCAGACCCGTTGGTCGAACCATTGAAAAACGAATCCTCCCGGGCCCGTTGGGCAGACCATTGCAAAAAAATCCGAAACCCCCTCCAGACCCGTGGCCCGTTGGGCAGACCATTGAAAAAAAAATCCGAAACCCCTCCAGACCCGTTTCCCTAGGTGCCCTGCCGGGGTCGTCTTCGCCAGGATGTAACCGGGGCCGCCCCAGAAGCGCCCTAAGTGCCCTAGGTGCCCTAGGTGCCCTAGGTGCCCTGCCCCCTCCCGGTCCCCCCCAGGTGCCCTAGGTGCCCTAGGTGCCCTACCGACCTGAGCCGGGGCCGCCCCAGAGTGCCCTAGGTGCCCCTAGGTGCCCTACCAACCTGAGCCGGCGCCCCAGAAGTGCCCTAGGTGCCCTAGGTGCCCTAGGTGCCCTAGGTGCCCTACTGACCTGAGCCGGGGCCGCCCCAGAAGCCCCCTAAGTGCCCTAGGTGCCCTAGGTGCCCTAGGTGCCCTGGGTGCCCCGGGACCCTGCTCAGGGGAAAAAAGGGGGGCAGGGCACCTGGGGCACCTAGGGCACCTAGGGCACCTAGGGCACCTAGGGCACCTAGGGCACCTAGGGCACCTGGGCCGGGGCCGGGGAGAGGGGGCAGGGCACCTAGGGCACCTAGGGCACCTGGGGGGGGAGAGGGGGCAGGGCACCTAGGGCACCTAGGGCACCTAGGGCACCTAGGGGCCGGGGCCGGGGAGAGGGGGCAGGGCACCCAGGGCACCTAGGGCACCTAGGGCACCTAGGGCACCTAGGGCACCTAGGGGCCGGGGCCGGGGAGAGGGGGCAGGGCACCCAGCACCTAGGGCACCTGGGCCGGGGAGAGGGGGTACCGGGGCACCGCCGGGGAGAGTAGGGCGCCTCCGGGGCACCACCATGTTTTTTTTTGTTTAACGGGCTCCGTTTTTTGGTGGCGTCTTTGATGGGCTCCGTATTTGGTACGCTTGTTTTGCTTGTATTGTTCAGTTGATTCTTCTTCTTCAAAAACAAAAGAAAGAAATGAAAAACTCAAGAAAAAAGAAGAAGACAAAAAATCAACCACCCCAACCGCACAAGCCACAGGACAAGGACCCAAGTGCCCTAAGTACCCTGGCTCCCCTTCAACTCTCCGAGGTTGCGGCCGGCTCAAGGTCACGGTCTCTCAAAGTCACGGGGTTCAACCTCACAAGCAAGGACATCAAGGTCTCGATGAAAACAAGGATGAGCGGGTTAAGGGGACAAAAACGGCTTGCCATTTAGGGCGGAGGGTCGCAGCACAGCCAGGCTCCCGGCGAACAGCCTCGCTGCCCCCCAGACCCCCCCCAGAAGCGCCCTCCAAAAAAAGGGGCTGCAGCACGTCCCTTTCCCTCAAGTCCACAACCAACGTCACGTGCAAAAAGAGACGTGTCACGGCAAGAAAATCCATGCGTGAAAACCGTGCAAAAACGAAATTTTCAGAAAACGCAAAAACGCAAAAACGCCTTTTTTTCCGCAAGAACGCCTGTTCAGGGCACTCGGGGGACGAGGGGGGGCACGCCAGAACAGAGCCGGGTGACAGGGGACACCCGGGGAACGCCAACAGGATCCTTTTTTCCGCTCTCGCAGCCATGCGGGCCCGGGGAGGTCCGCACGGCCTTTGCGCCCACGCTACAACGCCACGCCGCCAAAAAAACGCGATATTTGCCCTCAAAATCCGTGTCATGCTCAAAAAACATGCCAAGTTCAGTGCACAAGTCTTCAAAACCCAGGCCGTGTTCCTACAAGGTTTGATGTCTCTTCAAGACCCTCGCACCCGTGGAGATGCCTCAAAAAATGTATCCCGTCAAGTTCAGTCCACACGCCTTCTAAACCTAGGCCGTATTCCTGCAAGGTTTGACGCCCCTCCAAGACCCTCACATCCCTAGAAAGAATCGCCTCCCATCAAGTTCAATGCACATGCCGGCCAAAAAAAAAAGAGCACATCCTCTCGACGTCAGCCAACCTTCCTGCCAAGCAGCTGGGGCCTGCGTAGCCCCCAAAGCTTGTGACAGCTCCATCCCCCCCGATTGTGACAGCTCCATCCCCCCCGAGCTTGTGACAGCTCCCGGTGCCTGCTCGGCACTCCCCGGTGCCTGCTCGGCACCCCCCCCGGTGCCTGCTCGGCACCCTCCCGCTGCCTGTTCGGCAGCCTTGCGCTTGTTCAGCGCCCTCCCGCTGCCTGTTCGGCAGCTTGGGTCCACATGAATCGGTCCAGACAACCACATGCCACAAAATCATGAAAAATAAAAATGTCAAGGTCAAGTCACGCAACTCCGCCATTTGCTCAAATAGCAAAGCACCACGCAAACCCCGTCACAACCTTCGATCCTCGACACTGCCCTGAAGCGCACGCTCAACCACTTGTACAGTGGCCGCCACTTTCACAGTGGCCCCCCCCCCAACACACGACACGACAACGTCTCCGTCACGGCGTCACCTTCCTCAAGACAGGGGTCAGGGCGCAAACAAAAGCAAATTCCATGCCAAAACCATGCAAAACCACGCACACCGAGCAAATGTCATGCAAAAACCATGCAAAATCATGCCATGCCAAAATCCGAGCCGCTTGAGCCGGGGTCGATACCTTGGTCGGACCACCTTTTTTTGCCACCCTACTAAAAAAAAACGCCGGCATCAGATGACTATTACCGCCACATTCGCCATTGGCGAGGTCCAGACCAGTTTTAAGGGAGCCAAGTCGGCGCCCTTGAGGTCTGAGGGGAAGCCTATCGTCTGGCAGTCCGAGTGGACCAGCGTCCTCTGGGAGCCCAGCAGTTTCGGCGAGGACCAAGGGCCTCGGCAGAACGTCTGCTTTGCGATGGAGAGGGATTCCGAGGCCTGGGCGGCCTGGGATGACTTTGAGAAGAGATGCGTTGGCGAACTATCGGCGCGATGGGACGACAAGAACGTGAAGGACAGGTGGCAAAGCTGCCTCAAGGAGTCGCGTCAGGGAACGACCTTCCTGAAGTGCAAGCTGGACTTGCGCAATGTGCGCTTTTGGGACGCTGACGGAAACAGGATCCGGAGGCCCGAGACTCTGGCCGGTTGCGAGTGCCAGGCCCGCGTCGAGGCCCGGCAGGTCTGGATCATGGGCAAGCAGTGCGGGTTGGTCCTCGAGGTCCGCGACCTGCAGGCGAAGGCCGGCGCAGGGACTCTTGTCCCTTCTAAAACCACGTTCCTTTTAACCGTGGATCCCCGACGCAAAAGAACGCGCCCGCAGAGACCCGTTTGGGGGCCTCGAGAAAACCCGCGAAGAGGGCTGGGGAACCAACAGAACTTCAGGGCCGGGGCGGCCACCTTGCCCGGACCACTTTTTTTCCGCCGGCCTAAGAAAAGCAATCGACAACAATGGCATCCTGGGCAACACAACGAGAGAACATCAGGCAGGCGGTCGAGGCCGGATCGAGGGCCCGGGACACGGATGACGGAAGCCGTGTCTTGGGCTTGAGGCGGGGCCGAGGCGCCTACGCGTTGCTCCAGCGCGCGGACGGGAGCGTTACTAGGGCCGGGGAGGCCTACTTCGGCATGCTCGGGCGGCAGCCAGAGTCGAGGACCTTCAACCCAAGGCAGCCGCTGGTCAGGGAGGGTGCGGCCGCCGGCAGGGCGCCCATCATGGAACTCAGCGACGAGACGTACTTCTACGACCCGGAGGGGGAGTGGGTGGTGTCCTCGGAGACGACGCAATACCGGAACAGCCGCGTACACGTAGAAACCATCCTGCGGCAGAGGCTGCGAGGCCTGCGCCGCGTGTCGTACCAACTGCCGTGCTTCAACAGTATCCTGGAATGCGCATTCGAGGATTCCGGGGACAACGCCTGCGTGCCGCGGCAGCTGGCTCAACTCTTGGGCGTGCCCTTCGAGGAGGTCTGCGGAGACTTCGACGCCCTTGCAGAGCACGACTGGCGCGCGCACGGCATCTCGCCGGTGGAGATACGAGCCTTCTGCGCGTGGCGCAACGCGCCCATGGTCCTCATCTCCAACACCGGCGAGCCCCTGGACCGCTTCGAGCCCACGCAGCGGGAGACCAAGACCGTGGTGTTCACCTACTACGACGGGCACGCCTTCTTCTACCGGAACGCCCGGCCGGTGCTGGAGCAGACGGGCTGTGCGCTGGTCATGTACCGGCGAGACCCGAAGCAGACCGTGCCGCCGCTGGAGGAGTGGAGCCCGTGGCAGGGCGAGATCAAGCCAGGCCACTTCCACACGACGGACCTACGGGAGACGAGGCGGCTGCTGCTGCTCGCGGAGCACAACCCGCAGGTCACGCTCCGCTCGCTCGTGCAGTTCTCGAGCCTGAAGCTGCGCGCCAAGGGCGGGCAGTGCGTGATCCGTGAGCTGCCCGAGGACTGGGAGCTGCTACAAGTATGGGCCAAGGGGCTGGGGCTGCACTACCGCGGGCAGAGGCTGGCCTCGCTGAGCTTCGAGGCTTTCTCCACGCTGGTCAAGGCGCCGAGGATCACCCCGAGCCAGCGGCAGAAGAAGCTGCTGGCAAGTGCGCCGCCTGCGGGCAGCAGATCGGCGCCGGGTGCGTGGAGTTCGACCACATCGTGCCGGTGCGGCAGGCCTTCGCCGGGCAGCAGCAGCACTTCCAGGCGCTCTGCTTTGAGTGCCACCAGATGAAGACCCAGACCGAAAGCATGCAGCCCACGTCGCTGGAGTCGCAGTTCACGCGCTCGGTCTACAACGCGTACGTACGCTCTCCCAAGCAGCCTCCGTTAGTGTTCCAGGCGCGGACCCCGGGCAGCGGACCGCTCGAAGGCGTGGACGTGGTGCGCTGCCGCAGGAACGGGCTGGCCAACGCACCGTTCCCACTGCCCATCTTCTGCCCGGCCGAGAACATCGAGCCGGCGCGGCCCGGGCACCTCGCAGACCTCTCGTTTGTGGACCTGCAAAATCGGGGGCGCGATGCCTCCGTGACGCTCTGCCCCACGTGGGGCCGGGCTGGTACCCGAAGGTCTCGCTGGACTACATGCTACGCTGTGGCGTGGCGCAGTGGTCCGACGTGCTCCACACGATGAACGCGGCCAGCCACGTCACCGCGGAGTGCCTGGCGCCGGCGCTGGACGTCATGGAGCAGGCCTGGCCCGAGGGCGAAGAACATTGGCAAAGCTTGCAGTGAACTCGATGATCGGGCTCATGGTACACGACAGCAACAAGGCGTACACGCTGCGCAGCAGAAGCAACGAGCTGGACGCGACAGGGGCCGACACCACAGGTATTCTACGTCGGCGAAGGCCGGTACGTGTGGGACTTCATCACCACCCGCTCAATCCACAACAACGGGACGCTGCGCCCCATCCACGACTGCGTGCTCGGCTTCGAGGCGACGATGGTGGCACGCATCCGACGAGAACTGGGCTTCCGCCAAAGTACATCAAGCAGGTGAAAACGGACTGTGTGGTCCTGCAGGGCATGCCGCGGAAGTTCCGAGACAACCTGGAGCGGCTCGTCCACAACACGTACCCAGACGGTAAGCCCAAATTCCGCCACGAGGAGACGACGACGCCGCTGCGAGGCAAGCACGCGCCGCCCTGCATGCAGGCGGAGCCGCCAGCAAGGGCCGCCGGCTGGACCGGATTAGGCGGCCTGGAAAACAAGTCCATTTTTCCGTCGTTTTGCTGGGGCAGCGGACTTTTTTTTAAGTCCAGCACAGAGACGCCCGTGCCGGAGAGCGTCACCAGTAGGCACCAGGTGGATGAACAGGTCCGTCATCGTGCCGTCCAGGTCCTTGAAGGTAACCGGGCAAGGTCGCCCGAGCAGGTGCTGACACCACTCAGTGGCATCTTAGGCACGCGCTCCGTCGGAAAGCCGGCAATGAAGCTGTGGCGCAGGTAGCCCACATGGCCTGATCAATGTTGCGCACCGTGTCGTCGTAAGTACCCGCAAGGACGGAGAGGAAATGGAAGTGCTCCGAGGCTCCCTTCATAGGATTGTGGGTACTGCAGGCTGCCCAGCTGCATCTGCGATTGAGGAGGCTGTCCTCCTGCCTGGCCGCGCCGATGGGGGCCACGTCCTGACCCGGGTTGGCCAGCAAGTGGATTTTGGAGCCCGCGTCGTTGTCCCAAAAAGTCACAAACGCGCCCATGAGTTTTGTGAAGGCGCGCGCCACGGTGACGTTGTGCTCCGCAACTCCGTTCGGGACGCTGGACTGCTGCGTGTGCACTGTGGGGTAGCTGAACACGAGCGACCTTCCTGAGAGGAGCACGCGGTTGAAGGACTCAACCAGCGCAGAGTCCAGGACGACCTGGGAGGCCAGAACTCGGACGTTCTGGATCTCAAAGTCGGTGCTCAGCGTGGCTCCGGACGGGTGCGCCCCGGCGTTCTCGGACCAC